TATCTTTTTGAATAAGCCATAAATCTCAAAAGCTTGAATGGACAATACATCTTTTTGAAATAAGCCACAAATCTCAAAAGCTTGAATGGACAATACATCTTTTTAAATTATTATTTTTTATCTTGAATAGTATTTTCTTCAACTATAAAAGCTCAAGCCAAATTAACTTACAAATCATTAAACTAATATTTGATTTAATAAATGCTTAATTTTATTAAATTAGTATAATTTTCAAAGTAGCTATTATTTAACAAAAATATCATTCCCAATATTTAATTAATATATACAAAAATAATGAGTGAAATAAGTTAATTGTTGATTATTAACATAAAAGAAATTATTACCATAAAAGAAAAAGAAAGAGAATATTCTAAAGAATATTTTAAAGAATATTCTATTGAGTGAAATAAATTAATTGTTGATTATTACCATAAAACAGATTATCACCTTAAAAGTAATTGTTATTTAATAAAATATCATTCTCAATATTTAATTAATATATACAAAAATAATAAGTGACATAAATTAATTGTTGATTATTACAATAAAAGAAATTATTACCATGAAAGAAAAAGAAAGAGAATATTCTAAAGAATATTTTAAAGAATATTCTAATGAGTGAAATAAATTAATTATTAATTATTACCATAAAAGAAAGAGAAAGAGAATATTCTAAAGAATATTTTAAAGAATATTCTAAGGAAGGAATATATATATATATCTGTGTGTGTGTGTGTGTGTGTATACATTTCATGATTAAAATAAGAGAATGGTTTTATGGAAAGTGTATTAAGAAAACAGGCTTTGCCAGTTTTACGGATTTTCACGTGGCATGTCTCGGTCACCTGAGTCTAACGGGAGCGCCAGGATTCCATGGGATTAGGAGGGTCTGGATGGGTTGTGTCAACTTGCTATCAGAGCCAAGTTTTCGATTTTAAGGGCATTTTCATAATGCATGCAGTTTTTTCTTACAGAAAGAAAGTTAATTGCAGGCATAACAGTTGTTTTTAAGAAAGAAAAATTTGTTTACATTTTGTAGATATCAGAATGAGTCGACGTGGCCAACCTCGCACGAGTATGTAAGGGAATTGTTAGTTCCTCAAGTACACAAGAGGGCGAGTGAGCCTAGAGGGGAAGTAGTAGAAAAGTCAGTTACCTACATGCTAGAACCTCAGGGACCATATGTGGAGCCAGTTACCCATGATCATTATGTAGGGGTAGAACTAGTCATTGAAGTCAATGTAGAGCCCCTAAATTATAGGATTAACATGGAGCAGACAATTGATATTTTAGATCAATTGCCTACGAGAGTGGCTTAAGATCGGACATTGAGGCGTCAGGCAAGTGAAAAAACCGTAGAGAGAGCAATGAAGTTAGGGGCAACCATGTTTGATGGGACTGGGGATGCCACAGATGCGAAGTCTTGGATGGATAGGATTGAGTGGGTGTTTGACGTAATGGAGTGCACTGAGGCTTAGAAACTTCGATTTGCTAAGTTCCTACTAGAAGGCACAACATACCGCCATTGGTGGAGTTCAGTACAGCATATCGGGTAGGAGTTTGCGGTCACTGCTCTTCTAATTCTTTGTCGGAGGCCCTCTTCAAATTTTTTACACTTTGCCCTTTCATCTCTGGTAATCAATGGGGCAAATTGGGACAGCTCAATAAACTTGTTCATGTATTCTTCCACCAACATGTTTGCTTGAGTTAACTCAAAGAATCTGCTTCTCTTCGAATCTTCATAAAATCGGGAGTAATATTGGTCGAAAAATTCTTGGCGAAAGTTCGCCCAAGTAATTGTCTTAGAATCCCCATATCCGCCAAAGCCAATTTTTTCATTTGGATTTCATAATTTTGTGCTCTAACTGAGTTGCCCCAATTGAAAATAGCATTGAGCTATCAATTTTCTTCTTGAATAGTTTCAAAACTGTTTAAAACTTCTTTATCATTTTTCCTTTTAAATTTTGCTTTCTTCACCCCAATGGGTCGTTGAGCCGAACTACCACCAATATTTTCATCATTTTTGTTTAGAGAATTTGAAGACATGTCACAAGGCACCGATTAGGGAGACTTTGAAGTGGGAGTCTCTGATTCTTGTGATACAAACCTACCGGTTTGCCTTTGAAATACTTCTGCAGCATTAACATTATCTGTAAATTTTTCAATATCCTTAAGTATAGGCCACGCATGATCAAATCTGAAACCTTTCTTATAACTTTTATCTTGTGCTAGTAACATTTTGGCTTGAATCATCTACAAAACAATGTACATATAACGTTAAAATCAATTAGTTAAAGAAAATTAATTAAATGTAACAAATACTCACAATATCTTGCTCAGAAGCACCACTTGNTTTTTTTTTTTTTTTAAAGTTCCATCTATAAAAGATAGTGAAAATATACTCATAATTTTTTAATTATATATACCCCTATTAGAAAAGTTTTTGATACTCTTTTAAAAGAATAATTGATCATTTTAAACGTTTGTATATTTATATTTATACTTTATAGTCTCTCAAAGGGTTAGATAATAATAACCCCACAACCTTTTGATACAATCGGGCATTAGTTAAAGGATAATTGTTCATGTCATTTTTAAGTTAGAGATTATGATCAATGGGTAATGTAATATATAAATTTGGGGCAATTTTGACCGAGGTTATATAAGATAACGGAGGTAATCTTCGTTTATTTTGCAAAATTTATATGTTTTTTTTTACAAGTAATAAAATATTACAGTAATCTTGTATTTCAAATAGTGTTTACTATTGGTAATATGGGAGATAACCTTATTACCTTGTTGGGGGGTATTTTTAAAACATTACCTAAGTAATCTGATTTGTCTACTCATTTTGCCCTTAATTAAAAACTATTTTGAATACAATTGTCCTCAAATATCAACCAAATAACAATCAGCCTAGCCCCTCTACATTTGAGAAATTAGCTAAAACACCTCAACCACAGAATGTTTAAAAGTTAACAAAATACCTCCAACCACCTAAAACCACTGTCGACTGCCATCAGTCACCGTAATGTTGCATGATCGACGAGATATGGCCAGTCATGCAACGGTAAGGCCTTTTCCGGTCATGGATCACAAATCCATAGCCAGAAAACAACCAGATTTAGCATTTCTATGGTCCTTTCACGATCAAAGATATAGCCGTGAAAATGCCTGATCTTTGGTCGTGAAATGGCATAGCCAAAGATTTGGCTTTTTCACGACCACATCTTTATCCGTGAAACGATCATAGATCTAGCTGTTTTCCGACCATGGATATGTGATCCATGGCCATTTCCAGCTTTGCTGGCGCACGACAGGCCATATACGATCAGTTGTGTGCCATTCCATCGACTATCAGCGACAGCCGGCAGTGGCTTGGGGTGAGTGGGGGTGATTTTACTATAAATTAAAGTTTTATATAGTTTGGGTGTTTTAGCAAAATTTCAAATATAGGGGGTTAAAATAAATGATTCAAAAAATAATAATAAAAATACTATTATATTAATATTTAAAAATGAGGGTAATTTAATAATCTATATAATAAACCCGTCAATTTATCCTCCCAACCAAACATATTATTCACCAATTTATTCGAACCAACCAAACACATTTTCTAAACATTCCCAATAATTTTCAAGGTGATCTTTCTTTCCGTTCAAATAATATACTCCTATAATAAAACATTATATGATCTAAACGCTTCCTTTGTTTCATGAGTTAGGGCATCTCCAACCCACACTATTTTGGTGTGAAAAACACCAAAATAGCGTGAAACACTGAAACTGTTGCTCCAATGCAGCGCCATTTGCTGCGACTGAACAGTGTCATGCTAAGTTTGGTGTAGCACTGTTCATCCACACCAAATTGGCATGGTACTGTTCATACAGCAAATTTTTTTTTTTTTTTTTGTTATTTGTATTTAAGTTAATTTGATTATTATTTATATTAATATTTATAATAATGCTATAATTCAAAAGATGATGAAAATTTAAAAACAAAATTTTATTCAATGCAAATAGTAAACTACAACAACTCAAAATAAAAATTAACACTAAAATTAAAAGAAAATACAACACAAACTAAAATAACAATTTAATATTCCGGTAGATTAGTTCCGGATTTTACAAGATCATCAAAATATTAGAAAGAATTAGAGTTATTTTGAGATCCTTGACCTTGTTGTTGAGATATTTTTTGCATAATTTTTTATTGAGTAAATAAATGCTTAATTTTATTATTTAGTATAATTTTCAAAGTAATTATTATTTAATAAAAATATTATTTTCAATATTTAATTAATATATATATAAATAATGAGTGAAATAGATTAATTGTTGGTTATTACAACAAAAAAAAAATATATATTTTAAAGAATATTCCTTTTATTATAATATTTGATGCAATAGATTGGAGATGCAATAGTGTTTTACATAAAAAAATCACATCAATTTGGTGATGGGTTAGAGATGGTCTTAGAGGTTATCTTAGAGAATTTGATTTAAAAAATGTATACCCCATACTTCGTAAGATGAACCTATATGGAAATTATGGAATAATATTCAGGGAAAAATTGACCAAGAGCAATTAAAATTTATTATATTCTGCACCTAAATTTAAGAACACATCATATCTCAGACAAACACAGTTCAACAAGAGCATTAATACAAGAAATTTGCAATAGAATTTTGAGTTTTTGACAGGCCAGCACGGTACTAGCATTAGTCAACTGGAACTGGTTGCATGTTCTCAGCCTCTTTCCTCAGATCTTCAAACAGAGCAGATGACAAGTACCGCTCCCCAAAGCTCGCATGAACAGTCTGAAATTTAAACCAATAACAATTCTGAGTATTTTTTAAGGAGAAGAAATCATCAAGGGAGCGTTTCGTCTGTGGAGCTTGTGGTCAGGTTGAACTTCTTTAAATTAGCATAGAGTTTATATATTGTCCAAAATATGTTATCAGATGATTGTTTACTTTTTGATGAATCAGTTTGGACACATGAGGACCAACAAAAACTGCCCTAAGTATCGAGCAGATCCAGATACACAGCTTGAAACTGCAGATTCAGAAAAAGCTTCAGGAAAATCCAACACTCTGGATCCTTCAAGTCAGTCTCAGCCAAAAAGTCTTAAAAAGAAGCTCATATCTAAAAGTGCAACAAAAATTGCTGTGGTTGAAGCTTCAGAGAATGAGAAATCTAATTCAAAGGCGAAAGTTCTCCCCCTAAAATTTAAATGTGGCTCCACTGATAAGCTTTCAGATAAAGTTGTTTCTGCACACATGCAAAGTTCTGACCAACCAGTGACTTCTGATGTTGAAACTGCAAACAAGTCTGTTGCTAAGGTTAATAAAATAAAAATTTCTAACAAGCTAAAACCTGAAGAAATGCAGGCTGAGTCTCATAACCCCTCTATTGTAATACGGCCTCTAGCAGATGCAGATAGAGTTCAAGCTGAATCTCCTAGGCCCTCTATTGTCATACGACCTCCAACAAATATTTATAGAGAACAAGAATCCCATAAGCCTGCTATTGTCATTAGACCCCGAACTAGTACAGATAGAGAACAAGCTGAATCTAATAGACCCTCTATTGTGATACGCCCTCCTATGGAGAAGGATAGGGAGCTGCCTCAAAAGAAAATTATTATCAAACGACCAAAAGAAATTATTGACCTGGACCAAGTCAGTCCAGATGGAGCCACTCATCTTGAGTACAGGAAAACAAAAAAAATAATTGACTTGTCAAGTTTTGAGAAGTGTGGGAAGCAGGAAAGGTCACAGTTGATTTATGAGTCATCAGAAAAGAAAGGTAAAGAGGAGAGAAGATGGTGGGAAGAGGAAGAAAAGAGAAATGCGGCCAGGTTGAGGGAAGAGAGGGCAAGGAGGCTTTATGAGGAAGAAATGAGGGTGCAAGAAGAGCGAGAAAGGTTTGCTGAAATCAAAAGATATGAAGAATCCATCAGAAGGGAGAGAGAGGAAGAAGAACGCCAGAAAGCAAAGAAGAAAAAGAAGAAAAAGCCAGAAATAGCAGAGGATTATTTAGAGGACTATAGGACAAGAAGAAATGATAGAAGGATGCCAGAAAGAGACCGCAGTGCAAAGAGAAGGCATGTTTCTGAGTTGGGAAAGTATGTTGCAGAGTCGGGGCCTCCAACTAAGCGACGTAGAGGGGGGGAGGTACTCTACTCATTCTTACCTTGTTACCTACATGTAGAATTTATTTTTCATGCTCTATCAAACAATTACAAATCATGGTCCTTGTGAATCAAATAATCTGTATAATGTACAGAAAGAAAGTTTAGATATATGACTGACATCTCAATTTCAACCACGGTGTCAGTAGATACCTCTTGTTACCACTAGCAGTAGTATGTCCTACCACACTGTGGTTGTTAATCCCTCTACAGCTACAATTTAATCGCAAGGGGCGTTTAACTGTAGAGTGACTTCCTTTTTTTTTTTTTTTTTTTTTTTTTGTAAAGTAAAAAACGCACAACTTAATAGTAATGTAGATAATTTCTTGCTTAAAAGTTCCTAATTTTTTTCTTTGGTATAGAAAAGTGGGGAGAAGTTTGAGGAGCTATATTGATAATTGAGGGAAAACTATCAACTTGAATTACTTTCAGATGCAGGGTTGCCTTTTTTTCTTCACTGGTTTCAAGATTATAAGAGATGATAAATATTTCAATATGTTTTATTTTTAATCTATATTGACTTGTGTGTACATATATCCTTTCAGGTCGGTCTGTCAAACATATTAGAATGCATTGTGGAAACACTCAGAGAAAATACTGATGTGTCATTTCTTTTCCTAAAACCTGTGTCAAAGAAAGAGGCTCCCGATTACCTTGATATTGTTAAACATCCCATGGACTTGTCCACAATCAGGGATAAGGTGAGGAGGATGGAGTACAAGGACCGAGAGGAATTCAGACATGATGTTTGTCAAATTGCCATCAATGCTCACATTTATAATGATGGGCGCAACCCTGGTATTCCTCCTCTAGCTGATCAGCTTTTAGAACTTTGCGACTACTTGCTGCATGAGAATCGTCGTAACCTGTCTGAAGCTGAGGCTGGCATTGGATCACGGAATATTTAGGGGAAAAGCTATAATCATTCATTTGACTGAAGCCCAAAAATGGTATTGTTTTATTATATACTTTTTTGGGTAATTTCCAGGTTTTGGAGTGAAATGGGCATGTGTCCTGATGAAAAAACAAGTTGGTGGCATTCCATTTTGTGCGTACATCACAGTAAAGTTGTTTGTATGACTGTAAATAAAAGTGGTGTATCCTGCCTATAGTAAAGCATTGTAAGCTTTCGATATCTTCTTCCTAATATAGTACATTTTTTTTTCTTTTTCCTTTTTTATGAATAGATTGCAGAAAAGATGTGCTTATACATTTGGATTATGCTCATTGACTTCATATAGCAAAGTAGCAAACTACTAGCTCTCCTTTTTGAATCCTTTGGCCTTGACGAGATGATTTTATAATGGAAAATGTTACGCTTGCAATATTTTCTTATAAACTTTTTTTCATAATCCCACTCATCATCGGTTAGCTTGCAAATGGGGAAGTGAGCCTCATACAAGCAGGTATGATCATTTTGTGAGTTGATTAATGACGAGTTATCATGTCGAGAGTGTGAGAGAGTTTGTGAGAAGAGGTTGTGAATGTAACATTAATATTTTATAATTTTTTTGGAATTTTATTGGATAGGCTTTTCTAAGGGATATCTGCAATAAACCCTCACAGTTCTGTCAATTTATAGATGGCACCTATTACTATGAATTTTTCTCCACAATAAAACGTTAAAATTAGATTTTAGAATAATTTATATAACTTTTAAAAATCAAATTACATTGATAATAACAATGACGAAATAACTCGTACAAAATACTTCAAGTTATAAAATGATTTTGAATTAAAATTTTTTTATTTAAATAATTTTTTATGACATTTTAAAAAAAAAAAAAAGGTAACTACTGTTGCAGCAACAACGCCTCTGGCAGCGGTTGCTGGCCACCGAGAATTTCAAAGGTGGCACGTTTGATGACACAATTGTAGTTGCAACTTAAAATGAGAGAAAAACTTAATCTATCCTAAGCTTTTAGTCTACTCGTCAAAATCCTGCCCTTTTAAATATTAGGAAATATTTTTATCAGTATAACATCTATTAATTAATTCTAATTTTAAAACAAGTATTTTTTACATAAAAATGAAAATGCCTTTAGAGGTAATATTAACCTAACTTTACTGAAAAAATAATAGTACACAAAATATACCCATTCTGTCCTTATATAGTTTAATGTAGGTTAGACTCAGAATCAAGGAAATCTTTCCAGCAGTTTAAATTTTAAACTACAGGACAATGAGGACATAGATAGCAGACTCAAAACCCTAGGGGAATAAAGGTAATTATCTCTAGTTAAAATCCCCTTATTTACATATGGGAGACAGTTTTTCAAAACCCCTTGTGATATGAGTATTAACTCTAAACCCCCTGCTGTCGGTATTTTTTTGTTTGGTTGAACATAGAAGCGTTAAATAACCTCCACAGGGTTGGGGAGATTTAAAGTAATTATCCCTATAAATGGTTATATATTGCAATGGCTCAACCTTAAATTTGAGTCTAGATAAACTGTAAAATCACGTAGGAAATGAATGGGATGATGCTTCCTAGAACTACATATAATTTGAAGGAATAGATGGATAGATAGTGTTGAACTGATTTTGACAGATGCCTAAAAGAATTGCCATTAACTAAAGCTAAAAGCTGATTGGTATATGCAGTATGTACAAAGTTTCCCTGGAAATTGCTCAGGAACTTCTCCAAGTCAATCAAAGTCGATCTTGTTGAAAGTATAATTAAAGAGTAATTGAATAGGGAATAAAGGATTGGCTGGTTTAATATATTCGCAATTGGAGTTTATAGTCAAAGATTGCCAATCAAGTCTAGCTATTGTTAGCTAATGTTGACCTCTTGTCCTCTTCCTTTTTTTCTGTTTGGGTGGCCAGACCTCCCATGTTTGTATTTAAAAAAATAACTCTGAAAATATTTTACAAATTTTTTTGAGTTAGAAAAACTGACGTGGCACACGTAAGATTCATTAAACATGTAAAACGGGTTAAACTGAAAAGATTTAAACATATGTGGGTAATATTATAATTAACAGAAGTTTGTTTAAATTTTGAAAATTAAAAACGACCCCTACCCTTCAAAATCGCTTAATCGAGCCATATAACCAAAAAAGGACCGACGAACACCTTTGATTTCTTTGTGATTTTCGGCAATAAAAGTGCCCTATTTTTGGCAAATATTCGATCTTAAAGCTTCCTTACACAAAATCATGGTTGATATTCACAAAGAGGAGGAAAACCCAACCCCACTCCAAATCTTAAGACTCCAGCGACGGCGGTTGTTCAAAGGCTGTCGAAGAAGACACTCCAGTGGATCATTCGATGAGTCAAGGTGATCTAGAGGTAGAGGAGACAACGGCTGCACAAGAACATAAAGAAGAATCGAAAAATGGTTCTAAAGAGGAGGACGCCGATGAAGAAAGGGTACGTTTTTTACTTGTGGTTTTGAATTTGCTGAGAAATTTGATTGATTTGTTCGAATTTGGGGGATATGTAGTTGGTTTTATTGTGTGGTGGTTGTGGCATTTTGTCGAGTAGTTGGCGGGCATCAGGGGAATGACTTTGTTTGGGTTCTAGAGGATGGGGGAAGGCAAGGGAGGCCGTAGAGAGGTTGTTTGTGGGAGGTTAGAGGGTTGGGGATGATAGAAGGTGGCGGAATAAGGGGGCTGGAGGGATGCCCTGCATATTGTAGGGCTAGCCACGCACAGCTACGCGCGATATGTAGGGCAGCCCTCCAACCCCCTATTCCGCCACCTCCAGCCATCCTCAGCCCTCCAACCTCATGGAACCTGCCACAATAGCCTCTGTAGGGCTTGCATTGGCTTCCCCGGTCTTCTCAAGGCCAAAAACACCCACTCCCTGATGCCCTCGTTACCCATATCCCCCAAATTGGCAGCCTATTGGTTGTTTTGGTTTCTTTTTTTTGCTGATATTTAGTTTATATAGATTGTGCAGATTTTCTGAAGCGAGCGATCAGGAACCGTACTTCCCCGTAAGGGTAACAGTTAGGTCGAGTTGGCAAGTTTTTATGAGAATAATTGAGATTTTAGAGGAACAAAATAAGGGTATGGACCGATTCAAAGAGAGTTGTTTCGGTCATTTTGTGAACATCGGAGAAAATTGGAAAAATGCGTTTTGGGGACAGAGAGTGCATTATATGTTGCTGCACTCAGTTAAAAGCAAAAAAAAAAAAAAAAATTGAAATGTGGTTCGTGGTGGATGTGAAGCCACTACGTTTTGGGATGATGGAATATGCCCTGATGATAGGCTTAAGACGTGGGGCATTTCCAGATGCAGAAGAGCAAGAAAGAATAAAGAAGAGTAAGGTAGCCGATAACTTGACTAAAAAGGTTTTGGGGGGGAGGGGAGGTGTCTATTACGGGATGCGATTTAAAGGAGAGGTTAGGAGAAGGTGGGTATACCTCTTTAGAGAGGTTCAAGATGTGCTTGGTATGGTTCGTGCATTCGATCCTAATGGCTTCTAACTCAACAAAAGCCGTTAATATGGATTGGGTGAAGTTTGCAAGCAACATGGACTTCTTTAATGTTTATCCGTGGGGACGGGTATCATTTCAACTAACCATGGACTCCTTGCAAGGAAAAGACATGGTGTTAAAGCATGCCAATCTATCGAGAAGAATAGACCGAGCACGTACAATTTGTTTGGCTTCTCATGGGCAATGCAGGAAATATTAATAATCTTTTGTTATATTTTTTGTATTATATGTGTTTTAATTGTCATATGAACTATTTTTTTACAATGTAGGCTTGGATGTATGAGGTCGTCCTTGTCTTGGCTAAGAGGGGGGGGAGGATGAAGACTTCGGATGAGTGACCACAATTTCCTAGGATGTTGCAGTGGCACATCGAGAAGTGTACCATTGGGATTATGACAAAATAGACATGAAAATTCAAACGGATTAGGTAAGATTAAAGGATTAATCTTTTGAATATGCACTTGCTTTTAAATGTGACTTAAATTTAATTGAATTTTCTTCTTATTGCATGGAATCGTACGTCTCTTCCTCACCGTTACTACTGGTGAAGCGGGAGAGGAGTATGTTACATTATTCAAAGCACTAGACGATGCAATAGATGAAGGGATAAACCGCCTAATACAGGACCTAGAAGGGGTCACGCATGTGAGTGCAGTTGTAGGGCCACTGCTTGAGAATGTTGTTGACGCCGAGGATGATAAAGCTCCAATCGACGGGAGGGAAGAGGAGGATGAAGAGATTCGTTCGCCTCCACCCAATTGGCAAACCGGTACAACAAGTACTACTTTGCCGAGGTGTTGGGGTCGGGAGAATGAGGTGGTTGACCTCATAAATGGTCTGTTTGAGAGTTTTACAATAGTCGTTTATGAGAGGTTTGGGAAGATAGAAGAGCAGATGAAAATGGTGGAGGAGAAAGTTGATAGGGTGGAGGAGGAAGTTGGTGGGGTATTGAAAGTGGTTGAAGTGCAACCTGAGCATAAAAGATAGAGTCGAAAGAGTAAGCACGTAATTTCTCCTTACACAGCAATAGCATATGGAAAGAAGAGGAAAACGAAGAAAAAAAATGAGGAAGTCTGTGAAAGTGGAGAAGCAAAAATGGAGGAGGGTAAGGAGGAAGGCGGACGAAGTGAGGAAGTAAAAATGGAGGAGGGTGAGTCGAGACACGAAGGAAGTGGGGAAGTGAAAATGGAGGTGGAAGGCGGAGGAAGTGGGCAAGTGAAAACGGAGGAGTTAAAAGTCGATTTGTATAGGCCAATAGATGAGGAAAAGAAAAAAACTTTTCTATGCCTATTGCAATGATTCTGGAAGTGATGGGCATGTGAAGTACAAGACCAGGGATTATTCCCAAGAGTGGTTTGAGAAGATGTTAACAATGGGCAGGTGGCTCGACGACTCGGTGAGTTATTTTCCCTTATTTTTCCTTATGTTTTCCATGAAATATTGTATACTTATCATGTTATTTTT